ACTAATAAACATGCTTGATTAGTGGAAATTAAGTGTACTTATCTGTAAATACATTTTTTTTTACAAACATTATCCTTTAAACTATTTTCACAATTAACTTTTAACACACATGAGAATTGTGTAACATAATTGTTTTATAGTACACTTTCTAGAAATATATTATGAAAAATATAGTTCACTAATGTCACATTGTTCTAGTAAAACAAACTGAACACATTTCGAATTCATAAGAACACTGTGGAACAATGTACAATAAAAAATCAACATTCCTGTTCATTGCACCACTGCCCTACAACCCACTATACAGAAACAAAGGTTACAATATGGTAACCCTAGTTCTATAAGCACAGGTGGAGCCCTCTACTGGACCTCCTCCAATCACACGCACGCACTTGCCCACTGAAATGTTATCGTGCATGTAGCCGACCAATAGGACGTCGCTACCGATATGTGCGTGACGTATAAATAGCAGTGCCTCAGCATCCGACCGCCTCTTCAGCAGACGGCGTCAGAGCGGCAGGTCTCATCGGTAGAGGGCTCCGCCTGTGCTTATAGAACTAGGGTTACCATATTGTAACCTTCGTTCTATCTCACACAGGCTCCGCCCTCAACTGGACTCTATGGGTACAGTGGGTGGAGCCCGATGACTGTCCGCCCTAGCTGCGACAAGTCAAAGTCCACCACGCCAACCCAGTCGGCCACAGTCCGGCCAAAGCCCCGACCACCACATCACCTAGTGATAGAATGGTGGGACACCCCTGAGAAGGTCGCTGTACCGATGGGGGCTTGGCCTGAACCTTAACACCTGAACTGCCCTGACTTCTCACTGGAACGTCAGGCACTGCCAGTGTATGTTCCCACTCTACACCCAGTAGTCACCAGATCCTCACTTTTCAGATCCTAGGTTGCACTTGCAAGCAGGATCCCAAGAAGGAGCCCGACATATCCAAGAGATAGAAACGCACAAATGGGCACAGTAAGGGCCAAGATGCCATTGTGCAGATCTCTTCGACACACACCTGCTGAAAAAGGGTCTGAAAAAGGGTCGTAGACACTTCCACACTTCGGAGTGGAATGTGCACGAACCGCTAAGGGGGGGTCTGTTCCTGCCGTGTCCACGTTTGGGAGTCCAGCTGGCCAGGCTCTTCTTGGACAGGGTTTTACTGACTGCACTATCACTGAAACAGACGAACAGCTGACCAGTGCATCGAATTGGGGCTGTGTGTTCTATATAGGTCGTTAGCATAGCACACATGGACACAACAGATGCACCCTCACCCCCCCTGCATCCTAAGTGGGTAGGGGGGGGTAGAAAGCATCCAGATTTATTGTCCTGGACCTGAACATGCTCCCTATGTTCTTAAGAACAAAGGAGGTGTGTTGTCTCAATCCGGCTACCCTGTGGACACCAAGAACCAGCATGCAGCTGGGGTGAACCGACAGGCACACAGCTCACTCACCTTCTTAGCAGAGGTGAGAGCAACTATCAAGAGATAGTATTTTCAATGAGACTGCTCCAGGGGCTCATAAGGAGCCACCAACACAAGCAGCAAAATCCCAATCGCCAAACCCCCTGTGACAGGAGAGATAGCTGCAGCGTGATAGCCCCTTCCCCATCAGACCTTGCAGGAAAGACAAAACGGATTCCACCGAACAGGTAGGCAGATCCTTCTCCCTCTCAATGCATCAACGCTGAAAGCCCAACCACTTAGCTTTATAGCAAGACGTGGTGGGGACTGCCCGCCGCTTGGATGGTCTGTACAACCTCAGCGGATCAGACCAGCCTGAGTCTGCCTCTCCCCCCTTTTAGGAGCAAAACCTGGAGAGGCCGGGTCCAACACCGGCACTGTGCATATGAAGCCTCACTCTTGTGACAGAGCCCCCCAGACCATAGGTACAGGCCAGAGCTCTGTCACTGTATGCTGCGTCACTTCTACCAGAATGATGAACAACCATTCCCGCCTCCCCTAACTGGAGGGATAGATGGGGTGGGGGGGGGGGGTGCAAACAGCACCAGACAGTGAGAGACCCCCAGGTCAGGGGGGTCACCATGCATCAACTTTGACTCTTGAGGTCCAGATGCAGGCTGGCAAACCAACATTGTAGCTGTCGCCTGTGCAGCAACTCAGAAGGACCACCTGATGGACTACTGCCCTGAGGCACAACAGCAGCATCACTGACAGCGCTTTCGCAGCTGTCCCCTGCTGCAGCCTGTGGACCACCAAGCGACGCGCCTGTCTCAACAGATACGCTCTTGGAGTGTTGCAGTTGAGCACAATCCCCAGATAATCCACTCGCTGCAGCGGCTTGGGGGAGCTCTCTTCCCATTTGATCGCAACCCCAGGCTGCTGAGGTGCAAAATCAACTGGGATGAGTGGAGATCACTCAAGGCTTCAATCTCTCCTTGACCATGAGGTCGTGAGTAGAAAAGAACCCTCATGCCCTTCTCGCGCAACGATTGCAGTGCGATGCATCTGCTGAGCGTGTGGGGGGGCTAGCGTGTGGGGGGCTAGCGAGTAGTTGACGGGGAGCCTAATGTATCTGTAGGCTACTCCCTGAGAGGAGAAGCGTAGAAATTCCCTGTTACTGTTTCACCTCAACATGAAATAGGCATCTTTCAGGTCGATGGTGGTGAACCAGTTGCAGGGCTGCACTGGCTCCAGCAGTTTCTTGATCATCAGCATGTGGAAACGCCCTCTTGTCCATTATGCTTGTTCAGGGGGCGGAGATCCAGAATGGCTCAGAAGCCTCTCGTCTTTTTGGGGACCAAAAATTACATGGAAGAACACTTATGTGCATGTTTATGCGCAGAGATGCCCTAAGACAGCCTGCTTCAGCAGAAGTTGCTGGATCTCGGCGGCCAGGAAGTCCACTTCCTCTTGAGAGGATAGACTGGCTTCCATTATGTCCAGGAAAACTGGTGGTATGCAGCAGAACTGAAGAGAGTAGCCTCGTCTCAGAATGCTGTTCACCCAGCTTGTCAGCATACAGCGGCGTCGCCATTCTGCATGAAAATGTGTACATGTGAACGCATCTTCGGCACTCTCCACCACCAAACTTTCCTAAAATGGAAATTTAGCCCAAGGCGGGGGCGACGTCAAACGCACCAGGGCCGTTTGATCCCTGGTGTCTGAACGCACCACAGCTTGCTGCTCTGTGGTGTCCTTGAATACCCCATGGTCTGTTGATCCGTGGTATCCTTGAACGCACCACAGCTCGATGCTCCAGTGACGGCCCAACGTGCAACAGTGTCACCATGAGCACATTGTCAGTGGAGCAGTCAATATCAACACAGCTGCCGAGTGAAGCCGAGTCAGGACAGGGCATCCTCCTCTCCACTGCAGCGAGCTGGAAGAGACGTGTTGTCTGGTTGTGTCTCTCTGGCTATATCTGACCTAGATTGGCGTTAGCTCGGCTCGTGCCATCTGTCACACTGTCGTGACTGCACGGGGAACGCAGAGTTAGCTCGCATTGCTGCATTGTGTCACTGTCATGGCAGTAGCCCTTCATTCGGCTGCCAGGCGATGTAGGCGACCCGTTGCACAGGCCGGACAGCTGGATAGCAAGGAGGAAGCCCAGGTCCTACCACCGTCTTACTCGGATGCCACCAGGAGAGCAACATGGGATATGGGCTTCTGTCCCAGTGGTTTGACTAGCAGCAAAGACCCAGGCCCTCCCACTGTCTCTCTCGAGCTTAGCAAGGAGAGCAGTGTGGGCCGTAGGTCGGATCATTAGCTTAGCATCGGTGAACGTGCAGTTTTGTGGAGACTGAAGTGCGTTACGCACCGAGCCGAAGATGGAGGGGATTCAGTGGGGAGGAGAATGCTCTTTAGGAATGTACTGTATTTAATCAGTTGAACATTCACAGTATTTTCAGTGTGTACACAAGCAGCACATGAAACACAAATAATTGCATGCTCTACACATAACGGAGGGAGGAGGTCTGGTGGTGTGAATCAGCCTCTGTCCCTCTGTTACCCTTTTTAAAAAAAAAAATTAATAATAAGGCTTAGACTTTTTCCAAGGGCTGCAATCGAAAAGGCCGTGGTGTCCTTGAACGCACGGAGTTGGAAAAGGCCAACCGGGCCATGAACACACCACAGCCGCTGTGACTGTGGATGACACGTCACCTGGTGTTGACGTCAGCCTCAAGCTCACAGCTTCCATGTGAAGCAGCGGCAGGGTAGACATCCTTGCCTGCTGCAACAAGGCGCTACGAGCCGCTCGTGGAGGAAACAAAACAAACCGAAGCAGCGAGCGATCTCTTTCGTACCGCTATACCGAGAGACCTGACTTTGGCTGTCTCTCTCCGGGGCACAGCCAGCTCCTGAGCACACATGGTCATGCGAGATTGGCCACAGGAAGGACTTCTTTGAAACTGTGAATGCGCTGCCAGCAAAGGGGTGCTGTACGAGAGAATGGGAGCGAGGGAGAGAGAAAGGAATCAACTGAATAAATAATACTGTATGTAGATAGGAGAGCTCTATCTACCTATGAGAAATGAATAATTGTTATTCAAATATAAAACTCTGGTAGTAGTCTGTATATCCCACTATGGTGTGGTTGGACCAGAGGTGTGAAGGCTCCCACTGACTGCAAGATAATCCACATGACTGATGTGTGACACATGTAACATATTAAATACCATCACTTTATAAGATCCATTTTACCATGAACACCGGAGGATGCTGGCAAAGACAAAATATAAATGGTGATATACTGAACTTCAACCGAGTTGTTGCCTGGAAGTTTAAAACAGGGAAAAGGCAATCAGAATCAGAATCAGAAGGAGCTTTATTGCCAAGTAGTGTTTTACACATACGAGGAATTTGCTGTGGTGATAAGGTGCTACATGTAGACAAACTTACAGTCAACATAAATAATGTAGAAATATATAAATATGGAATAGAAGAACAACTGTAGATCAATAAAGCAATAAAACAGATAATTTGTGTCTGAGGAGTAAAGAACAAGCAGCTAAGAAAAAAAGTATGACTTACAATATCAGGAAGTTAAGGCGTCATCAGTACTGGTGTGATGATCGGGACTGCATGTCTGGGGTAACAAAACAGCTTTCTTTGCGTTCTTTGCCTAGACAAAAACATTTATAATATGAAAGTAGAAAGATAGCTAGCATTATCCTAAAAATGTGAAATTTTAATTGTACTTGTACTAAAAATATTTACTAATAATCAATTAAATTCCACACCAGTTAACCTTAACTATGGTATTATAAACTTTGGTTTACTTGTGTCAAGAATTTTAGCAACTAAAAACAGGTAACATTCATGAAAGAGGACACTAACTTATATTTCAGAGGGAAATACCGTACTTTCTACTCCACTAATATTACATTTATTTCACAGCTTTGACAGTTACTAGTTACTTTTAAGATGAATATTTTAGACAATGCAAAATATAACAACTGGAACCAAACCACAAACTTAATTTAACTTTGATACTTTTAACTACATTTGCTGCTAATACTGTTTTTTTACTGAAGTAATGTTGGGATTTGTCATGCAGGACAGGAAAGTATTTTTAAATTGCTGTATTGGTACATTTAATTAGGTAAAGGATCTTAATACTTATTTCACCACTGTCTGCATAATACATAATGTTAAGTCCTCTAGCTCCCAAGAAAGCAGCTGGACGTTTAGCAAGCTAGCAACTTTACCTCATTATTTGAGCTAGCATGACGAGTAATATGTAGGCTAACTTGTATGTCCACTTACCAGGAGGGCTTTTTTTTGCCTCCACCATGTTGTTCAATTCAATTCAATTCAATTTTATTTATATAGCGCCAAATCACAACAACAGTTATCTCACAGCGCTTTTCATAATAGGGTAGGTCTAGACCGTACTCTATGATGTTATTTACAGAAGCCCAACAATTCCCACCAAGAGCAAGCACTAGGTGACCGAGGCAAAAAAGGCAAAAACTTCCTTTTAAGAGGCAGAAACCTCGAGCAGAACCATGGCTCAGGGTGGGCGGCCATCTGCCTTGACTGGTTGGGGGTGAAGGAGAGAGAGAGAGAGAGAGAGAGAGAGAGAGAGCAGGAGAGGAACAGAGAGAAAGAGAGGGGTGGAAGGAGAGAGAGGGGAGGGAGGCAACCTACACAATATACACACAGGGATACAGACAGTAAAGGTGATGTTGCTATAGACTAAATGAAAAATGGTATAGATATGTATAGTAGTGTTAATGATAACAATCGTAATGTTAATGATTATAATAACAATAATAACAATAGGACTAGTAACAATAGTTGTTGTAGCAGAGGGTGTCGAGCAGGAACACGGGGGCAGCAGGTGACTCGCAACCACAGATCCAGACTCCACAGCTCCAGAGCCAGAAACACCTGCAGGAAGTGATAGGAGGAGAGAGGAGAGGGACGAGAAAACACAAGACTACTGAAAAGGGGAGAAGTTGTGTTAGTAACATGCAATAATGGGATGAGGTTGCATACAGAGGAGAGAAAGAAGAGGAGAGAGGAGCTCAGTGCATCATAGGAAATCCCCCGGCAGTCTAGGCCTATAGCAGCATATCTAAGGGATGGTTCAGGACTCACCTGAGCCAGCCCTAACTATAAGCTTTATCAAAGAGGAAAGTCTTAAGCCTACTCTTAAATGTGGAGATGGTGTCTGCCTCCTGAACCCAAACTGGTACCTGGTTCCACAGGAGAGGAGCTTGATAGCTGAACGCTCTGGCTCCTAGTCTACTTTTGGAGACTCTAGGAACCACAAGTAACCCTGCATTCTGGGAGCGCAGTGCTCTGGTGGGGTAGTAAGGTACTATGAGCTCTTTAAGATAAGATGGTGCCTGACCATTAAGAGCTTTGTAGGTAAGAAGAATGATTTTAAATTCTGGATTTTACTGGAAGCCAATGCAAAGAAGCTAAGACAGGAGAAATATGATCTCTTTTCCTGGTTCCCGTCAACACGTGCTGCAGCATTCTGGATCAGCTGAAGAGTCTTAATGGACTTTTTCGAGCAGCCTGATAATAAGGAATTGCAGTAATCCAACCTAGAAGTAACAAATGCATGGACTAATTTTTCTGCATCATTTTTAGACAGGATGTTCCTGATTTTCGCAATATTACGTAGGTGAAAAAAGGCTTAATGTGAGATTTAAACGACATGTCCTGATCAAAGATAACAAGATTCCTCACAGTGGTGCTGGAGGCCAGGGCGATGCCATCAAGGGACACTATATCTTTAGATAATGCGTCACGGAGGTGCTTAGGCCCCAGAAAAATAACTTCAGTTTTATCTGAGTTTAATATTAGAAAATCACAGGTCATCCTGACATCCTAACATCCTGAAGGCACATTTGAAGTTTAACTAACTGATGAGTTTCATCTGGCTTGATTGATAGATATAACTGAGTATCATCTGCAGAACAATGAAAGTTTATGGAATATTTCCTGATAATATTGCCTAAAGGAAGCATATAGAAAGTGAAGAGGATTGGTCCGCGGACAGATCCTTGTGGAACTCCATGACTAACTTTGGCATGCATGGAGGACTCATCGTTAACATGTACAAACTGAAATCGATCTGATAAATAGGACTTAAACCAGCTTAGAGCGGTTCCTTTAATATCAATGAAATGTTCCAGTCTCTGCAAAAGGATCTGATGGTCAATGGTATCAAATGCAGCACTAAGATCTAATAAAACCAGTACAGAGACAAGTCCTTTGTCTGATGCAATAAGGAGGTCGTTAGTTTTTCACCAGTGCTGTCTCTGTGCTATGATGAGCTCTAAATCCTGACTAAAAATCCTCAAATAAACTATTGCTCTGTAGAAAGTCACACAGCTGTTTAGCAAATGCTTTCTCCAGGACCTTAGAGAGAAATGGAAGGTTAGATATAGGTCTATAGTTGGCTAAAACATCCGGGCTTTTTCAGAAGAGGTTTAATTCCAGCTACTTTAAAGTACTGTGGTACATAGCCTGTTGATAAAGATAGATTGATCATATCTAGTATAGAGGTGCTGACTAAGGGTAAAACATCTTTAAGCACCCTAGTCGGGATGGGGTCTAAGAGGCAGGTTGATGGTTTAGATGAAGAAATTATTGAAGTTAGTTGGTAAAGATTGAGGGAAGCAAAACAATCTAAACATATATCTGGTTCTACAGCTGTTTCTAAGGTTCCTGAGTTTAGAGATAAGTTGGTGCCAGTTAAGGGCAGGTTTTGGTGAATTTTGTTTCTAGTAGTTAGAATTTTATCATTAAAGAAGCTCATGAAGTCGTAACTACTGAGAGCTATGGGTATACTTGGCTCAATAAGGCTGTGACTCTCTGTCAGCTTGGCTACAGTGCTGAAAAGAAACCTGGGGTTGTTCCTATTTTCCTCTATTAATGACGAGTAGTACGCTGCTCTGGCATTACGGAGGGCCTTCCTATAAGCTTTAAGACTATCTTGCCAAATTAAACGAGAATTTTCCAGTTTGGTGGAATACCTCTCAAGTTTTCACGATATTTGCTTTAATTTGCGAGTTTCAGTATTATACCATGGAGCTAACCGTCTTTGTTTTGTTATTTTCTTTTTTAGAGGGGCTACAGAGTCGAGTGTCATTCGCAGCGAGCCTGCAGCACTATCAACAAGATGATCGATTTGGGAGGGACTGAAATTAGCATAGGAGTCCTCCGTTACTTTGTGACTTGATAATGAATTTAGAGCTGATGGAATCGCATCCTTAAATTTAGCTACAGCACTATCAGACAGACATCCTGTATAGAAATATTTGCACAGTGGCGTGTAGTTCAGCAATACAAACTCAAAAGTTATCAAAGAGTGGTCGGATAAAGAGGGATTCTGTGGGAACACTATTAAATGTTCAATTTCAATACCATATACCAAAAGAGGTTGAGGGTGTGGTTAAAACAGTGAGTTGGTTGTTCGCTCACATTTTCTTTTGCATGCACACACTGCTTTCCTCCTTGCCAAATCGGAACAAAACTGTGTCCTGGTAATCTAGCAAACATGCATTCATGTGAGTGAGCTAGGCTAGGACGTGAACACAACGAACGAGTACCATCTGCAGCTCTGATTGGCTGGAAGTGAGCAACAAAACTGATACGCTTGATTGGATGGACTTGCCACAGATTTATTCAAAACATAGAACAGACGGTTGCATGTAATGTAGCCACCATTTACTTGTCTGGCGTGAGGGATGTGACCTGCAAAAAGATAATGTAGTGGCTGCTTACGCTTTGTCACGCTGTCTGAAAGCGTCAGTTATGACGCATTGAGATGAGAACGTGTTGAAATCTCTTACTGTTCAGCAGAAAACTCAAATTTTCTTGTGTGCACCTGTACTTTTGAAGTTTAGTGTTTTGTTTGACATGGTTGTGTGTAAGATGTATTTTAACATGACACTTATTTGCCAATATAATCTTATTAAACATTACTTTTCACGAGTAGCTATTTGTGTACTTAATTGAAAAAAATATAAAAGGGCTTTCGTGCATTTTTTGCAGTAATAAATGTTAATTTCTTAAAGAAATGTACAAATGCAAGCATGAATAAGTTAACTTAGTAATTACACTCAAATGTAATTTAAAATTTACTAAAACTTCAGCATATTAAAATGGGTATTTTTAAAATACACTTTCAGTGCATTGTTACACTAATAATTTTGAGCATACAATGAAATAGTACACTTTGGAAATTACATATAACTTTCACAAGTATATTTTTATATAATGTATTTCTTGAAAGTGTGTTCAAAGTTAGTATACTTTTTATATATTTACAGACAGTACAATTCTTTCATAGTATATTTAAAATGTACTCTTTAAAATTTTAATATGTTTGAACTACAATAAATCCAGGCCTGTGTTAACAACCATGGTTTCATCTAAAATTGTTGTCCAAGGATGTCAGAAACAAGATAGTTCACTTCCACCAAGAGAAGGCTACAAAAAACTCAACTTTATAAACTACTCATTTCCACTGTCAGAAACGTTATCAGAAAGTGGATGACAACAAAATGATGTTCATTTAGTAAATTATGGTTCCATTTATTTTAAAATAGACCACAAACCAAAGTATGTTTCAGGGCAGGATTATCTATGATTGACAAGTCGTTACATGGTGACCTGTCAATCAGGCTAGAGCAGACTCGTACCCACGGCACTGTGTAAATTTAACCAGCGCCGCTGAAAAAGCTTATTGGGAGTCGGCTGTTCACTTTCTCTGGTGAGTACATTTAGTTTTAAGACTGTTGTTTGCTATTTCAAAGTTATCAGCCCTGTTGAAATGACAGTTAACGTGAGTTACAGTTGCACTTAGCTAAGCAAGCTAGCTCCGCACACGTGAGCTCCGCTGTATCGTCACTTCCGGGCACTTCCTGGTTGCAAAAACTCGCCACTACTCGACCTATTGGCCAAACTCGAGGCTTCAAAACGGCAGTCCACAAACCAACGGGTGACGTCGCGATGACTACGTCCATTTCTTATATACAGTCTATGAGGAAGGTGCAGGCTGGTGTAGGAGCCAGAGTAGAGACAATGAATTATATCTAGCTGTAGGTGAGCTGGAAAACAGCAGCTCAATGCTAATATTAGGTAAGACAATGTAGGTGTAGACTGCGCCGGTTTAGTTATTCACCATCTAGGTTTATTATACTATGTTTACACCTATGTTTACACCTTGTATCTAATCTGTTTGTGTAATTATCTTGTGTCTGCAGGCATTGTTTGACCGGATGTTACTCTTTTACAAATGATCTAGCTGTGTGTTTGTAGTTATGAGAAAGACATTTCAATGTTAGTGTACATAAACAATGATGGCTAAAGGTCCCCAAGTATTTGTGTTTCTGGTATATAAGCTACCTATAATATAGTTTGACATTGTTCGTAGCTAAACCTACTGTGTGAAAACCTTTTACTGTAACTGGTGTTATGCCATTACTTATTTTACCAGAAGTAAGAAATCCTGTATGTTTTATTTCTACTGCGCCCTCAGGTCACCTGCAGTCTTCCAACCCCCTGTGCTTCTCACCAGTACACTGATCAGACCATGCTGGCTGGCCTGGATTACAACCATCGTGTCCACAGACCAGCCAGGACAAAAAGCTAATGACACAGTTCAGTATGTTGCATTATGAGTACTTGTGCATTTTACTCAATACATTTATAAGTGATGAATCAAAAAATATTAAACAGTATGAGGAATACAGATAGATGGTGCTGATTTATTGTTATTGATTGCATTTTATGTGGAAATAGTTTACTAATTACTCTATAAGAGGACAATGTCAGGTGCTAGAAACTTTTCACTAAGCTGATCCTCCTTTCTGTATTATCAGGTACAGCAAGGTGTATAACAAAAAGTCCAGGAAGTGGAGCTCATCAGCTTGACACAGATGAGCCAATGGCTGAAGCAGAGCTGTAGTTATTTGATGTAATCAGTAAATGATAATAAAAAAGTACTAACAATAGTGATGGATTACATTTATAAAGCACTTTATTTTTGACTGTCAAAGGGGTTATGGGGAAACACCAGACAAACTTTAAGAAAAGTACACTGGGAGACAATAGACTAATATCAAAATATATATGTATAGATATACCTGTTCATATGCTGTCGTTGGAGTGTGAAGCTCGACGCAGGTCCTAGAACATGTGCTCTTTGGCTTGCACCTCGTCCTCCCCGTCCTGCCTCTTCTTCCTTGGACCCCGGCAGCCCTCCCTCCTCTGCTTCGCCTCGACCTCGGTCCTGTCCCGATTTGTGCTTGGCTCTGGGTGCAGTCCTCATCAGAGACATTAATGCTGTCACCATGGAAGCTCTAACATGCAAAACAACGTACATGTTATGAGTCTAACACGAAATTCACGTTCGTGTAGTGTAACTGATGGAAACGGGAAAATGTGTATCAGCCTGTTTTTAGCTTTGCCCAATGTTCCTGCAGCTTTTAGCACAGCTACCTGCTGCTAACAATTAGCTACCCAGCTTGTTACTGATTTAAACTCGGTCTTTTTAAACCTATCCAATAATAACATGATAGCGAGAACTAACAGCCGGGTTAGTTGTTTATTTTCATAATGATAAAGTTAGATGTTTTCTTACCCCTGATGTGAGCCGCTGCCCTCCTCTCGTCACACTGTCATTGTCCTCCTGCGGTGTCGGCAACGCGCGTTCACATGTTTTGGGGGTGTGGCTTTCGAAGGAGCCCAGAAGGGAGGGGGTGGGAGTTTCTTTGTTGGATAATTTCAAAATCTGCAGTTTCTGGCTGGTTTCTCAAACTTACCTACCCTGCCTTTAACTTTGTACCAGTTAGATGTCACGTTAACTTCTATTCACATAAATTATAAAGAGTCATTTCAGTTAGGGGTGCCCACATTTTTGCACACCACTTTCACAGTGCATGTGCAGAGTAAATGTGTGTGGTTGTGTATGTACGCACTGGCAGACTTTTCCTTTCAAAGTTAGATAGATGTGGTGTTCTGTGATGGATATTGTGTGTCCTGAGGTCATATCTCAAACTATCATTCACGTACTGCTGAGGCATCATAACCAAGAACAGAGCTGAATTGATCAATGAACACAGACATACATGCACATGTACATTAATCATCTTATTTTTTTGTGAAATATGGTTGATGTGACTCAGGACACAGCTTACTGAAATCATACAATAAACTTTTATTTAAAATTAAAGCCACGAGGGAGCAGAAAGCAGTAGCTTAGGGACCCAGGTGAAAACATCCACGCTTTTATACTGAACCCTTACCTGCTCCAGATTTGCTGATCAGAGACATGATGATCAATCAAGATCATCATAATGTCTGATCTATAGGATGTGTTTCATGAGGATGAGTTAAATTATTATTATTACAATCGTTGGCTGTGGCTCAGGAGGTAGAGCGGGTTGCCCGTTAATCGGAAAGCCGGCGGTTCAATCCCAGGTACCTCCTTGGCACCTCCCAAATTGCCCCTGGTGGCTGTTCCGCCAGTGTATGAATGTGTGTGAATGCTAGTTTCTGTTTGAGCACTTAGGCTCAGTGTGTGAATGCTATGTAGTGTAAAAGCGCTTTGAGAGTTTAAAGATTAGAAAAACGCTACACAAATATGGAGCATTTATAAAAAAGAACAATAGATATTTAACCCTATATTCTATATCCTCTATTGGGGGCTAGACTGCCTATATCAGCATTTTTGCCAAAAGTTGTGCTAATAAATTATCTTGTATTTCTATGAAATGAGGTATTGACATTCATTGTCTCCATGTTTTGGTGACAGCAAATAACCAAAGCAAACGTCAGATGCTCTGGTTATTTGCTGTCACCAAAACATGGAGACCATGAAACGTATGCTCCTCAGAGGATAACCTTTTTATACTGTTAACACCTCTCCTGATTTTTCCTGTGTGTGTTCACCATCTGACAAAATACACTTGTACATACACACACAAAAACTACAGCAAACTCTAATGGACAGTGTCATGTAGTTTACCTTACACATTCATGCTCCTTAGAACCGCTCTCTTGGATTAAATTATCCTGAAGTCATTGAAATAAAATGTATGTGTCCGCTGTAGAGCAGTAAAGTTCTTAGCAAGGTACCATGATAATCTGCATGTAAGATTGCGAGATCTTGTGTGGATATTTGACATTGTTGGCATGTTTTGCACAGTGCCATATTACATATGCCATACTGTACTGTACATTTTCTTTTCTATATCTAGTGTGCTGGTTTAGCTGTACGTTCAAACCCTAGCTTGCTTTGTATTGAGCACAGCAGCCAACCCTACTATATTCATTTTCTTATTTTTTTTTGCTTGTAGGGGAGTTTAATTTAATTCACCATTTCTAACCATTGCTCTGTGGGAATTGAAAGTGTGTCTGTGTCTTTCTTGTTGGTGAGGATCACCTCCGCAGGGAAGCGAGCGGCATGGCTTCCTCCTGCTGCCAGGATCCCATTGGGAGGAAAAATTCTCCTGCTTTGAGAAAAGAAGTTTGCAGATACCAGTTCCACCTGTAAGTGCTCAAGCTTTCTGTCTGAGCTAGTGACAGCACACCAGTCAAAAAGTTTCTGTTTGACGTCAACAATATGATACATGTTATGTGTCACATTTGGTGTGTTTTTTAGTTTTAATGTCAGTGTTTTAGCTCTTTCAGTGATGGATGTAGACTGTGTCAGGGGTGATTTGTAATTAAGTGGAAAGACATTTAGGGTGCCATCATCATTCACTCTAGTTGATTATGACTAGAGTGATTAATGTGGCAATCTACGGTGCAGACCTGACTCAATTCATTACATAACTTTATTAATGAGAAAGAAAATTAAAATGTATAATTAAAACACAGTGGAGACATTAAAAGTTTTAAGCTGTGTAATTTGACTCTAGGCAATAAATACCCAGCAACATACATTCAGCACTCTCATGTAAGGAAGTTTCAAAAGGGTTTTTTCAGTAAAAAAGAGGAAATACATTGAATTGTGATTTCAAATGGACCTAATATACAGTTAAAGTAGACCTATTATGCTATACATTTCCAGCCCTATATTGCTGTTCTGTGACTCCTCTATGGTAGCTTTGCATGAATCAAAGTTCAATTAATTTTTTTGTTTTATACTGGCACTTCATGCAGGCCCTCATTTCAGCATCTGTCTGAAACAAGCTGTAAATGCTCCTTTCTCTTTGAGACCCCCCTCCAAAGCCCACTGTCGTCTGATTGGCCATTGTCTAATGTGTTTATCAAGCTGCCACAGGGATAGGGCTGTATGTTCCTTTGTGGGCATGGCCAGCATTTTCTGCCTGGAGCAAATGAACATATATGGAAATCCGGCTCAGAATGATATCATAGCGAGCCATTGGTAGAAAAAAACAGTTCACAGGGATTTCTTTTAAATACTTTTTACCTCATTATTTGAAGCTTTGGTCACGTAGAACATGAACATCTGACATTGTAACATTTTAGAAATGCCAGAAAATATGAAAAAGCATAATAGGTCCCCTTTAAAGATATTTGGCATAACGTAAGATATGATAACATTGAGTCCAGTTCTAATTTATGATTACTCTGTGCTGAAGACATTAAAATAAATAGATATTCAAACTGGCTGCTCAATTAAGAAGTGACCATTCAACTTAATAACTTTTACAGAGTCATTGCCGATTTTGCATCATGTTAGTAAATCATTCCACAATTGTTGTTTTGGTTGGCTCCAGCCCCTTATTGAAATATCAGTTCATTAATTGAGCCAGGATTTCCTTTATATCAAAATCTAAAATAAAATATGAATATGAATTCCTGGCTTCATTCAAATAGTCTCAAACAGAAATGGTGGGTGGAATTTGAGGGAATAAGCTTTATGATTGTTCAGATCAGTTCTTTTTACCCCAGTGACTTGCAAACAGTTCACCTTCTGAGCCACTGTACTATTGTTAAATGAATAACAGTAATATATATACATTTGTCATGGTATTGGTATAAAATTTAAAACTGGACAGGTAAGGCTTTATGCTGTGTGTTTTTCAGCTAATAAGTCCCAACTATAGTTGCTTGTGTTGGCAAACATTTTCAAGCGGAAATGGAAAATATATTAGTTTTAGTGTGTTTAAACCTATATTAATCAATTCCAGTAGCACTTACAGTGATTCTGACTTTTGTGTTAGACACTCCAGAGTGTTATCTTTCAAAGAAGAAACCATGCATGCATGCATCCAAATGGTTCAAGAACGGCATTCAATTTACGTTGGATATGCCTAGAATAGGCGTGTTGCATGAATTTTACAGAATGGTAAGAGGTTTAAATGATACCAATAAGGTTAAAAGACAGCTGCGGTAATGGTTAAAAACGAACCCACATTGAGACTGTTGGTCAGGGGTAAATCAGCGATTGATCGGCGGTCGCCAGTCGTTATGTGTGAACTACTCAACGACACATCAAAACGTCTCCCCGGCAAATCGCTGACACACCGCCGATACCAGCCAGGTATCTAGCATGCCAAATATCTGGAGGAGTCGGCCGACTTGACATCCACATCCAGCCAATGAGAGCAGGCAGCTGGCAGAGCAGGCATTCTTTTTCTCTGCAAAACACTTTTTACTCACCTCCAGCTCTCTCTGTAGCTCAGACAATCCCTGTGCTAATCCATTCTTTGTCTTTATAATTGCTATCTTTATAATAAACAAACAACAGCTGTTTCGTGTGTAGTTTCACGTCATTTCCTTTTTCACATTTCACTTTTTTTCTTGACAAACTTGGTTTGGAGACCAGCCGTCGGGTGACAGAGTCATTGTCAGCTCGTGTAGTGCGTGACCCGCTGTCACCGATCAGTCATGTAGTGTGAACACCACAACGACTTCAAGACTCACATCACAAGACGGCGAATTGTGTAGTGTGAATAGCACGGCGATCTGCCGACGCTGAAAGTCGTGTAGTCTGCACAAGCCTTTAGATAGTGATCTCTACCATTGTCAAAACAATCAATGTGCTGTAGAATCTATAGCACTGATGCTATTTGTGGTCCAACACCTTACTAAGTCATAAGACATTTTATGACTGTCTTACCCATGTCGTGCAAAAAATGTCAACATAGTCAACATAGCTTAATGTGTTGGATGATAACAAAACAGTTAAGTGAGCTGGACTAAATATTTTAAATGAGATTGTTGCCATACTTTTTAACAGTTAAACCAAAGTAAGTAAGTTACTGTAGTGATGGTGTTGTACTGTGTCGTTATGTTGAATTACAGTATATTATGTAGGTCACGTAAGTTATAGCGACTGAGGCCGGTAAAGAAGCCGTGTACCCGAGTATCGTAAAATGA